AGCGACCCTTTTGCACCTATCTTTGTAAATTCATTTCAGCATTTCCAACAGCCTACATAACTGTGTCCCTTGAATTCTCCTTCCAGCCATTTGTAACTTTCCAATGGTCTTCTCATCTATTAATGGGTTCAGTAAGATATTTCATTTGTGTTTGTTTTTTTATTTACATGAGACTCATGATTCTACTATTTGAAAAGTTATCTCTTAATACTATTAGGTTTTATATCGCATCCCATTTTACACATTAGCCTTCTGTTTCTCCCTTTCCAGGCCACAAAGAAGAATCTAAACTGTAGTGGGTGCATTAACAGCCCACACCCCACATGACACTACTATCATTTAATATGAATAGGTCTATAATGCTGAAGGAAATCTTAGAGATCACAGATTATCAAGGACTATCTCATTTTACATATATGGAAGACAATACCCAGGGAAGTGAGGTGATGGATATAAAATCAAAGTCTGGTTAATAAGAGGACCAGCAATAGAACCCAAGTCCCAACCTCTTTTTTATTTGCTTTATTTCCCTGTCCATGGTGCCACAAAAGGAATGGAAAATTACAAGATTTCAAAAGCCTAGTCTACTGATAGTAATCTTAAATATAGCAACATTCTTCTAAGCTGGAAATTTAGTGTCTATTTAACAAAAATATCAGTATTTCTTTAAAACCTAGAGCATCCAAAAGATATACCAGACCACACACACTAATGAAAAATAATAGAGTGCACAATTTTGGTTCCAGTAAGTTAAATCTCTACAATCTCATTTTTCTTCATTATTTTCTACTTGCTTATAAGGATCTACTTCATTGTAAAGGATAAGCCTTGAAATGTAACATTACTAAGATTTAATAATTTTTAATGGGTGAATCAAATAGCCTTTGATGAGCAAAGGCTATTTTTCTCTAAGTAGATGGTTGCTGGTCCAATTACAAGGGGTATCTTAGAACAGGTACAGTTTATCTAGGGAAAGGTCATAGTTCAATAAGGGAATACTCATTATTTGACAATCTTGATTGTGTAGAGAGGGTTCAACAGCACCAGAAGCTTGTGTAGTTTGTGCATGAAAAATATGATCAAGCAGCAGTTTGATGAGTAATTTATATATACAGACTGGTTGGCAAAATACACAAAAAATTTACAGAAGCAGATAAGGTGGGTGGCAAAAACAGGGTCCACAACCGAGAAGTGGCAGTTATTATGTTCCTAGACCTAAGACTCCATGTCAGCAATGTGGTGGGGCCTGCATAAAGCAACAGTTCTTGTCTGGCATGCATGTGGCAATCAACATACATGGTAATTGGAGAGTAGAGATAAACACACTCTAGGACTGGGGCTTGGGTGAGTGAATGGAAGTCTGAGGTGTATCCTTTAAGAAGGCAGTCCTTTGCACAACTCTGATGGTGAGTGTCCCCCTAAGAATGAGATGCTGCATTAAAGCAAATCAATGGGGTGAGAACAGAAACAGCAGAACACTAGGAAATCAGAAAACCCCTAAAGGGGCAGTAAGGGGAGCTCCTGGAGCAGCAGTAAGTAAGGCATGGTGAGAGGTATGATTTCTTGTTGAATAGCTGCATAAAGTACTTTGAACTTGAGAAACAACTCATGTTTCCTTAATTCAGAGTGCAGTGCCTCTCAAGTTATAGTCTGCATCCCTGAACTCTACCCTGTGTGTGTTAGCATTTTATTAGATTGTTAATTGCAACTGAATGAGTCCCCAGTCACATAAATAAGCACATTAATTTTGCTTCCCAAGAATAACATAAGCCCAAAGAACCATTCCTGCATATCAAATATGAAGGTTGTTTTTTATCAGTGACAACTTGTCACTCCAGACAAGAGGCTCAGGCTTCCTCAAGCATCTCTCTATTTCTGGACTTATGGGGTTGCACCAGCTCACTTTTTATTATTATGTAATCTCTTATCTTCTTGTGCCCAGATTTCAGAGTTTAATAAAAAGAGCTTGCAGTTTTCCTCCTTGAACCCCACACAATATTCTTCCAGGTGACTGTACCATTGCTTAAGCAGTTACCTCTTCTTGAGGCTCCCTTGGCATCCCCTTACACCCACCCTTCACACCAAGATAATGGGAGGAAGTTTGTCTCTTCTACTACATGTGAACTAGCTCTTCGCGAGCAAAAGTCTTTGTATTTTCTAAGTTCCCAGCATTTTTCACAAAAGAACTGTAATGCAAAGTGAAAGTTCAAAATATATTTAGTAAGCTGAATTCAGAGCAAGGAACTAACGTCACCTAATGTAGTAAGGGCATTAGAAGTGGAGTAGTTATGAATGAGCAGACTGAGCTTGAGAGACAAATGCCCCTCTTCACTCCTAGCTTCTTCTTAGCCAATGACAGAGCCCTGCCTTCTATTACACCCTGTCACCATCATCCATTAAACATCGACCAATGTTACCTGGTGCCCAGACTCAATAGGACACCAGAAGGTGGATGTGGAAAAAAGCAGAGTGCATGTAAAAGGTGAAAAAATCATGGAGGGAGGGAGGGAAGGAGAGAGAGAGAGAGAGAGAGAGAGATGGAGGTATGAGGGGGGAGAGACAGAGAGAGATGGAGAGGTTGAGAGAGAGATGGAGAGAGAGAGATGGATATATGAGAGAGAGATGGATATATGGGGGGCAGATAGAAAAGAAAAGCAGAGGGGTAAGAGAAGAAAAGTGGAAAATGGAAACTAGCAGTGATGAGATACTGGGAAAATCACAATGCAGACAATGAAGGATGCAAAGGGTATTCATCATGTCTGCTCCCTGAAATCTGAATCTTCATGTTATACTTGGAAAAGCTTACATATTAAAAGTATGCCAATGTATGCATTTTCTCTCCCCTCCTTTGACCCTCCATTTCAGTCTTTGGCCTCTCACGTCAAAGATTCCATTATAGTGGGGAAAAATCTCCAAGTCATTCCAGAACTAGACCCTCTATGTCACTGGATACCTCTTCCTTCCATCTTGGGGTTGTTCTCAGTTTTAAACATTATGTGTACTCGTCACTCCTTATTGGGCCCCCATGCTTTCCTTGCTTGAAGGTAGAAGCTTCTAGTTCTACTAGGTTTGCTGACTGTGTCCCCAAGACTTTCTCACTGGCCATACTACTGTGACCTTCTTGAGTTTGCTTTCCCAAATGCTTTCTTTAGTCTGCATTTTACTCATTCCACATTGTTTTAAGAAGGGAATAGTAGTCCACCCTCACTGCTAATGGTAATAGTTCAGACTCACAGAATCTTTTTGCCTTACTAATAAAATTTTTAAGTGTTTCTTTACACCAAAATCAATGAGTAATTCTGCACCTAGATGACACATTTTTATTAATTATAACTCTTTGAATGTGACAGAAATCTTAAATTTTATTTTAATTATTTTAATTAGTTTAAACCAAAAGAAGACTTTATTGGCCCATATAATCAAAGTACATGAAGGGCTAATAAATCTGGCTTAAGGGATGATGGAAACCAGAGACTCCTGTGTCACCAGGAACTTCTATGTCCCTCCTCTCTATTTCTCTATTTTCTGTCTCTTGGGCACATTTCTGTGTACAGAAGACCTGGTTCCCACGCATCCATGCTTAGCCCATTACTTTCTTGGATATAAAAGAAAAGGAGCTCTCTTTTCTCAGCTTCTATCAGAAAAAGCTTGAGGAAAAAGTATCAGGGAAGACAAATCAATAAACACTCATGGCACATGATTGCAGTAAGTGGTAAATCTTTGTTGGTGATTTCTCCCGTTCATGATGAGTTGTCACTATATATGTTATGAAAAAGTTTTAACTGAATTCTAACACTACATTTAGCCTCTGAGACAAAAACTTGCTCATATTAAAAATAAACACAAAGGGTGTCCCTGCCTCAGATCTGCATAATGTCCTACAAGGATGTGTCCACTTTTCACTACCACAACTGAGCAGTAGATCCCAAGAATACCTACATGGGTTATAAGATTCAGAACACTGAAAGTTATCTAATCTTACCTCCAATTCAAGGCAGAAGTCATAAGACAAACAAACAAACAAGGGATTATTCATCTTCTACTTGTTGAGAAACTGAATAGCCTCAAAGTACCCAGGTCATAATAATTTTGTAAATTTGTAACTCACAAATTTATATTTTTTATAATAAGCCAAAATATTTCTTCCTATCACTTTTTCCATTCCTCACAGTTTTTTAAACTTTAAGACTCTGTTTATCTGTCTCTCTCTTACACACACACACACAAATACACACACGCTGAATAACCCATATTTCTATATATTTAAAGACAATCATCATGTCCTCCAAACCCTAACACTTCATATTTTCTGTTTTTCATGTCAATATATCATATTCATTCAAATAATTTATATATTTTCTAAATGCTTTTTTACCCAGTTAACATCTCTGGACAAATTCTAACTCAGTACTGTTTTGAAAATGTAAACTCAAAACCAAATAAGCATACGATGTCCTCACTGAAAACATGATGAGAATGTTGACTTTATATGGGCATACTCTCAATAATAAAAATCCTACCAGCTTTGGAAGACATGCACACTTATTAGCTCTTAGTCAGTACACTGCCCAGAGAATTTCACCAGATATCAGGCCTGCTGCCATTTCCTAGGGAAATCCAAACCTATTTCCTAAGGAAAGTATTCTGAGGGTCTGGAGCCCCAAAGATAGATCACAAATCAGACTTTGAAAATCAATAAAGAACAATGAGAACATATCAGATACAACAGTCAATGAATTTATTAGGTCAAACAAAACTGAATTTCCATACATTTTGTAAGGAGAATTTATGTAATTCTGAGTCAATTGTTCAAAATTATAGGCACACACTTAATATTTTGGTCATTCATTAATTTCACTGTCTAAAGGAACTAGTCTATCAGCTGGTACTTGATGCCAGACAAAGGGTGAAGAGCTGGAGGTGAGAGGCATTTAGCTAACATTACTGATAGCAGCTCTATGTAGAGACTGAAATATTTTGCTCAAAGGGTCTGGAAACTCTCAACAGGTTCGTCTAGAGAAGGCTGATCTATAGGTTGGCCTGTAACAAGGAGACTGGCAGCTCCTAGAAGCCAAGTAGGTTGGATGCCAGAATCTGGATCCATAGCCCAGAGAAGGGAAGCCACAGACTCCATAACTCATGGATCTGGAGCCCTGGGATCCACAGCCCAGTGAGTAGCAGCCCTTGGATCCATAGCCCAGGGAACGGCAGCTGCTGGACCCAATGCCCACAGACCCAGAGCAAGTCGTCTGGCAAGGACTGCAGAGCGTGGAGGTCCTCGGGCGGTGGCAGGACGTCTGGCACGGGCTGGACACCACACGGGATGTCTGGCAGCTGGTGGGCTCACAGCAGGTCTTCTGACAGCCACTGGGGAGAGAAGATCCCAGCTGGCAGGTGCTGGGAGAGCGTAGATCAGCGCGGTAGACCAGGTTGCTGGGGCAGGAAGAGCCACAGGAGGAGCTTGGGGAGCGCAGGTATGCCCCAAGGGAGTGGGAGGAGTAGTTTCCAGAGCAGCAGTTGTAGGACATGTGGGCAGGAGATGGAAGTTTGGCTGAGTGACAGTGAAGAGATGCTCTGAGTTTCAATGCCATGGTCTGGACTCCAAGTTATATATACTCTTAGAAATGGGTGTGTCACCATCCAGATGCTCCCTCCTCCTTGTTTGTCACTTAATGCAAGAATGCCTCTCTAGGTTATTGCTTAACTCTAATTTATCACATCTTCACATAGTTAATTGTGCTTCAATCACTCTGATACACTTTGGAAGAAGCTACTCAGTTTCTTTCTCCAGGAATTCTCTGTGATTTGACCTTTGAAGTTATACATCATGACACTTCCAGATACCCTTCCCTTTTTTATCCACGTGGGCTGTGAGTCCTTGTCCCACCAAATGGACTTGCATAAACTTTTCCTTCACTTCCACGAGACTATCAGGACCATCAGTGGTTATTATTCAACATACTTTGTCCTTTTCTTCATGAGCATATAACAATGGATTTCTCCAAATACTAATTATGCTCAGCAGACTCAACAATCTATCAGTCGAAACTTTTACTCTTTTTCTATTTGAATTAATCCATGTAATTACTGATATCTATTAATTTAGCTTAACTAAATTGTGGCTTCATTTTTTGAAGCAACTAACTTGAAGTATTAGAGCTACATGGGTCTTTAATATCTGTGGTCAACCCACACATTGAAAAATTATGCCTTGGAGAGGTTCAGTAAATGCCTCCTAAGGGCTAGGAAAGATAGAAGCTTGAACTACAGTCTCCTTATGCAGAGTCAAGATCCAAATACTCTGCAAATATAAAAGCAAATTTAACTTTAACTTGTCTCAGAAAAGAATCTATTAAGCTTATTTATACTAAGATATAAAAGCCTAATAAAGCCTTATTTACCTCTCCTAAGAATATTTGCACTGAATAGTGTTCAACAGTAGATGTCCATGCATCACTGATCTTTATGCATTTAAAGTATATTTTACCTTCTAGCCCAAGAAAGAGAAAAGAATTTGGATAACCCATACTTAGATTAATGAAAAAAAAAAAAAAGGAAGAAGAAGAAAAAGGGTTTCTTCTTATCTGGTTTGTGCCCATTTGTCTTCTTTAGAATCTGACATTTTATTTGGTTTAACTAAGGGGAATGACATTTACAATTGTCATTGAAAAGAAAGCTCCTTAACTACCTGAAAATTAACTTGCTGAATTCCAAAGCACGCTGCTTTGGAGCACTTAGTTACTTTGTTTTATAATTATCTCTCCCATGCAGAATCCAAAGTGTGGCATGCATCACATGAAGAGCCCTTGTGCAATACTTAAACCATCACTCTGATTCACTGAAGTAAAATAAGTTATGCTTTATGAATGGACACCTATTAAATTTACTAAAGAAGTATGTGCCATCCCCAACACATGGGATTCCTTAAAGTGCCAGCCTTTAACTCCTTTAGAATGCACAGTATTTCTCTCTTCCTATTCATAGTTGATTCTGGTAAAAATAAATAGATAAATAAAAAAGGCTTTCTAATATCCAGAAGTTCTTGCTTCTCCAGGTTAGCTCCCCATGCCTGGGAATTAACATGAAAATAACTCGGGAATAAGTCAATTCCAATTAATATCGCCCCACACCCATTGCTAATTAGGTGAACACTTTTCATTAGTCATTCGTGCACTTTGTACAGATACTAGTGAATAACTCATAAATGCTAATAAATGTGTCCCTCTGAAAGGAAGAAAAAGCAAAACAAAACTAGAGTGGTTTTAATAGTTCTGAAGTGGATCCTGGAACTAATAAAACACTCTGTGTACTCTACAAACACAGGCAGAGTTTTTAAGAAAAAAAATCACTCACTATCTGGGTATGTCAGAAGAAAAATGCTATATTGCAATTTTTTTTGAAATGGAGAAATACCAATACTACATAGAATAAACCAGCATTAGAGGGCTTAGTAGCCACAAGTAACTTTATGATCTGAATTACTTGAGTATTGATTATTTTTCCAGGTCATCACATTAATGTAGTTCAGTCTTCAAGCTGACAATCCCCTTTTGCAATGTTTTCAGAAATTTTTGAATACCTTTCAAACCAGGTGAATATTAGTAGAAATAGCAGAAATCCATATATTCCAGCAGGTACCTTTATCTTTCCTGTTCACTTTTCTCTTATATTCTCAAAACTGCCTTCTCTAGACCTACAAGGGACTTTTATCACCCCATCTGCAAAGGTTCTGCTTCCTAACAGCTATTCCTCACTAGGATTTTACTTTCCAAATTCTCTCACCTCGGGAGTGATTTATCTGTTAAAGGTTATCACTAAGTACGGGCTGAAAGACCCATTTCCGGGGAAAGGAGGAGGAAAAGCATTCAACCTCTCTGCTCTGGCTTCTGGCCCAGGCGCCAAGCAAGTCAGCCATGAGCTGCTACTTTCCCAGAGGTCATCCTGCTGCCCTGTTAGACTCTCTGGGTGCTGGCCCTCCTCGAACATAACCACAGCCTCTACCTGCTGCAAACTGACCGTTTTAATTCTGCAGAACTGCATCATCCATAACTTTAATTGAAAAGGCCAGTGTAGCTGATTTCTAGACTCTGCTTCCAGAACTCACTGATCTTCTGACACTTGCCTTTGCCTAATTCATTTTGAAAATGGAAAAAAAAGAATACACAGAGTGAAAAGCAAACTCTAGAGCAGTTTTCTGAAATGCCTATACTCCCAATTGTTACCATTTTGTCATATTTATTTCATCTCTCTCTCTCACTCAATTAAAGACATAAAACAGTACAGATATGATCCCTCAGTGGGCCAACCTCGGTCTTCTGCTCTTTCCTATCTTTCCACTAATGCCTTCAGTTTGAAGGAGTCTTCCAGGAAATTTTCTGCACACATATTTATAAGTGTATGTACTTTGTTGTTTTGTTATCATTATTATTATTTCAGATTTTATTTATTTATTTCAAAGAGAACAAAAGAATGGTGGAAGAGGGGCAGAAGGAGAGAGAGAGAATCCTCAAGCAGGGAGCCCAATGCGGGGCTTGATCCCAGGACCCTGAGATCATGACCTGAGCGGAAATCAGGAGTGTGATGCTTACCTGAATGAGCCACCCAAGCACCCCTGTTTCACTATTATTGTTTTAAGTTGTAAGAATGCAGTCTTATCGCACATATATTTGTAAATGTATTTTTATGAACAATTACTTTTTTATTTTTTAAAATTTTTTAAAACTATTTTTAAAATATAGCCATGTTGATATTTATATACTTGGGTATTGTTCTATTATCACTTCAGGGGCACTTTGTCAGGCACTGTTCTAAGCACTTTATTACAAATATTAGCTCATTGAATCTTCACAATAATCCTATTCAGTACCTACTGCTATTGTTCTTATTTTAGAGATGATGAAGCTGAGACAAATAGGTTGAGTTTCTTGCCCATGGCCACTCATGTAGTAAGTAACAGAAATGGAATTTGAACCCCGATACTGGACCCATTGTCAGAGTTTGTGCAAACAAGCACTCTATTATAATATAAAGATCTAGTTTCTTGTTACCGCTGTATAGAATTCTTCCATAATAATATCACATTTTATTGATCTATGTCCTTATTATTTTTGATTTCTATCACAAATCATGTGACAAGGAAGATACTTGTATTTATGTGCACATCTAGGGTTTCCGTCAGGTACACACTTAGAGGTAGACTTGCTAGGTATTTTCAATTTCATTTTCAATTTTATTGTAGTAATTGGGAGCATGGCCCTTGGAATCAGAACGGCTGGGTTTGAATCCTGACTCCATCATTTGCTAGTAATATAACTCAGACTCTTTCAAGTATAGTCTTTTATTATTACCTTTTATTAATTATTCTATACAGTCATTTCTCCTTTCAAATTAATTTTTAATTCTTTGTGTATTATTTATTTTATGCCTCTATCTTTTTTAAAAAGATTTATTTGTTTATTTTAAAGAGAGAGAGAGCAGTAAGGAGAGGGGCAGAGGGAGAAGGTGAGAGAGAATTCTCAAGCAGAGTCTGCGCTGAGCAAGGAGCCTGACCCAGGGCTTGATCCCACAAACCTGAGATCATGACCTGAGCCAAAATCAAGAGTTGGATGCTTAATCGACTGAGCCACCCAGGCACCCTTGCCTTGTCTTTCATATATTGCAAAAATATTTCTCCACTGGGTTGTTTGACTATCTTTTTTAAGCTCAGCTCTATTGAGATACAATTTACACATAATGAAATTCACCTCTTTTAGGCATACAGTTCAATGAGTTTTGACAAACATATAGTCAAGTAACCACCAATGCAATGGAAATACAGGACATTTCCATTATCACCCAAAGTTTCCTTGTGAGTCAATCTCTTCCCACCATATATCTGAATTTCTGTCCTTATAGTCTTTTCTTTTCTGAAATGCACTGTAAATGGAACTGTCCATTACACAGCTTTTTGTGGCTAGTTTTCCTCACAGAGTACACTGCTTTCGAGATTCATCCATGTTGTTGTACAGTCCAATGGCCCCTTCCTTTTTATTGCTATGTGGTATTTCACTGTATGTATGCTATCCACTCACACCATCTATGGACATTTCGATGATTTCCAATTTGGGGCTGTTAGGGTCTAAACTGCCATAACCATTTACATGCAAGTTTCTTCATAGACATATGTTTTGTTTTTTCTAGATAAATACTTGGTGGTGGGATTGCTGGTTTATATGGTAACTGCGTGTTTAGCATTACAAAAACACTGTGAGACCATTTTCCATTTTGCATTCCCAACAGCAAGTTCCAGTTGTTCCAAATCCTCAATAGCACCACGCATATTATTATTATCATTACCATTATCCATTATTATTTTGCCTACTCGAGGAGGCATGTAGTGGTGTCACATGTGATTTTAGCCTTCATATTCCTAATGATAATAATAGTGCACAGCTTTTGATGTGCTATTTGCCTTCCATAGCTCTCCTACAGTGGTACCTATTTAAATTATTTTATCATTTTTGAGCTGTTTCTCTTTACATTATTGAGTTGTAAGAGTCCTTTGTATATCCTAGAT